AGTTCACATGCTTCAAGCGATAACAAAGGCGTCAAAACCTATGAATAAACATTCAGAAAATTTCTAAAAGCCACAATCGTTACTTACTCGAGGGGCGATATCTTTTCCCAACTCCCTATGACAAGCTTCCAAGATCACATTTAGAGCAGTGAAGAGAAAATGAAATAATTCAGGAACGGGCTCATATATATGATTTTTTAGTTTAGCCTGAAGATAAGGAACCTAACTATACCAGAGAATTCCAAAATATTTCCGGCACTTACCAACAAATTGAAGCTCAGCTTGAACTTTCTAAATATGTCCACAAATTCTGGTTGACCGGGTAATTGTGTCCTCATATGTAGGATATGTAATATACCTTTTGGATCCGGAGATGGTGGTCCACCTCTTTTATCTCGGCAGTTGGCTGTTTCATGACGATGAGCCTACAAATCCAAGTTACAAAATTTTTTTTCTCACATGAGAAATATGGTTTTAGAAAATGGCAATGAGGCTAGACCGAGGGTAAGCATAAAGGTTACAACCTATAGAGTGTTGACAACGATAAAATGATTCCTTTGGAAGAAGTCTAAAGTGAAGCAGTGGTTCAGCACAGTGAAAAAGGTCAGCTCAGAATTTATAAAAAGGCCTTATACAAACTTGAAAAAAGCCGGTTGTGAAATTTTTTTCAATAAATCTATCTTATGTCCTATTTGCAGCTTGGTGGGAAAGATCCACATATTTTTAGTCATAAAAAAGATTTCATGCACCTGCGGCTCAAGTTCTCGTTGTGCTAAAGCGGCCGACTGTATTCGATTTAGAAACCTCTCTATGTCATCGAAATAGCGATTGAGCGTACTCTGAAACTATCATTACTTATCTATCATTACTGTCATTATTTATTTATTACTTGCTTGCTTACTCATTTATTTATATTGGTTGTAAGGCAACCTACCACATCTCTTTCGGAAACTGTAGCCGTGTCATCTTGCATACAAATACAGAGATCATCAGTGGGGTATCTCGCGAACTCTAAAAAACGCCAATTTTACGGGAAATGGCGAGAAAATATTGAAAATCGACCTGGAGGAACATCGACAGCCTGGGGCTTCCTGTTTCCTTGTCTAAAGCGTACTTTTCTAGATTGACCACGCATGGACCATTGGAAGTCCTCACCCACCTCTGTGGCAGCTCCTCGATTACCCTGTGATAATCAAGCCTTTGAATCGTCGAAATCAGTAAAGGTAGTAAAGTTAATAATGTATCATCCATCTGTTGTGGAGCTGGAGACCGGATTCAAGAAGTGATGCCTGCTGCTTTATGCTTTACATCAAATAGGCTACCGTTGAGGCGTCTCGCGTCGAATTTGATAGCCACCCATAAATCAGCTAGACTGTGATTGGAAAAACGGAGTAAACGAGATTTTGTGTGGGCTTCTACTTTCAAAGTTTGAATTCACTTGAAGTGGAATTTCCAACACAGAACAAGAAGGTGTGATACTTTGTAATGATTTGCTTTGCTTTGTACTTGCAAGCTTTGGGCTTGCACTATTGCGCGGGGTGTCTACATACCACGCCGATACCCACCGATAGCTGGCGTTAGGGTGAGTTGCTTCTATTAGGGGAAGGATACTTGGATGCCACGGCAATTCATAGTGATTTGTGTACCAAAAAATGCACCTCTGAATGCTGGTTCGTAAACTGTCTTTCATATCTGCG